ACTGTGATGAGGAAGGTAATATACCGGTCCTTGTGTTGCTTCATTCGAAATCTTCCGCATGTGGCCTAACCTTTCGTATTCTTCGAGAAAAGCCGAATATTGTTGTTCGAGCGCCTCCGTTCTATGCAATTTTTTCTCTAGATTGATGAGACGACGACGAGCGATTGCTCTCGACTCGCCAAGCTCGTCTGGACCTTTCTTAAATGGCATGCTAACGATGAATCTTCCGTCTTCGTTTCTTCGAGTCGTTCTCACAAAATGCGCCTCCGCTTCCCTTTCCTCCGAGGTGAATATTCTTTGGTCCTGAATCTCTTCGATGTTCCAAAATTTAGTCAACTGTCTGTCTATGTCTACTTCCTTGGCAAAATTGCATTTGATGGGATTTACGCTCGTTGGTTCGAGCGGGCCGGCTGCTATCCATCCCAGCCTAGTCTTCTGCATCGTGAGCTGTTCTATTTTGAATTGCCCTATGCAAAGGAGATTCCAGAACCAATCGCCTCCTATTAGGATGTCTATACCGCCCGGTGTATAAAAAGAAGGATCAGCTAACTTAATGTTTGATGGGATCTGTAGGCTCTGAAAATTAATGCGACGACTTGGTAGCTGACTTGTTATTTCGGGCGTTACCAAACATTTCACGCGAAACTCGTAATTATTGTAATGAGCTGCTATCTTGACCTCGCAGCTATGCTCTATTTGTAATGCCATGCCGTTTATGGCTTCTATGCTCGTATTGATTCTGTTTGTGTCCAAACTTAACTCTTGACATAATTTCCTTGTGATTAGGCTCGATTGAGATCCTGGATCGAGTAACGCGCGTACGCTTCGCTGTTTACCTCGTCGATCTGTTACCAAAACTAATGCTGTAGCTAATAATACGCCAGATGCCTGCTGACTATGAGAGCATAAAACCGATGAGCTTCCGCTTTCGACTACCGGAGTTGCATTCTCCGATGATTGTTTCTCGAAGTGCAATAAAGTATTGTGTTTACCGGAGCACTTTTTGCAAAGACTGGCTCTGCAATCTTTAATGAAGTGCCCTGGCTTCATGCAATTGAGGCAAAGCTTCGAACCTTTTAACTGCTCTGCTCTCCTTTGTGGTGTGAGCTTGAGAAACTGCTCGCAGTTCGCTAAATGATGTGCTTCCTTACATAGCGAACACCTTTGCTTCTGAACTAGAAACGATTTTACCTTAGGGCGATCCGCTTGCTTTGATTTTGAGACGTCCTTCTCATTTATTTCGATGCTATCCAACAAGTCCGCTCGCGAAATTAGAAATGTCTTGAATTCTTCTAACGTGGGAATGTCGTTGCCCGCTCTCTCCTTCTCCCACTCTCTCGCGGTGACGCCGTCCAACTTAGTCGATATTATGTATATTAACAATGTGTCCCATTGCTCGGTGGATTGCTCTAAAGCTGTTAATGCTCTTAAATGTTTATTTAAAGTATCAATAGTTTCGCGAATTTGACTTGCGGACTCTTGTTTCATCTGACTAATACTAAATATCGCCTTTACATGATTATGCGCTAATAACCTCTTATTATTGTAGCGATCACATATCGCACTCCATGCCACAGCGTAATTCACGGCAGAAATTTCGAGCGACTTTATAATCTGAGCAGCAGATCCTTCCAAAGAAGCCTTCAAATAATGAAATTTCTGTATGGGATCTATCGTTTCGTTTCTGTGAATAAGCGATTCGAATGTGTCTCTGAAACTTAACCAATCAGAAAAGTTACCGCTAAACTTGGGTAATTCTATCGTAGGCAATCTAATGCCCGCTGTCTTTAATATGATATGTTGATTCGGCTGCCTGGCGGCATTTGGAAGAACCTGCGCTCCCTGTAATAGTTGCTCTTGCGCTTGCGAACCGCTCGCTACTCGCGTATTCGCGTCTAATGCTTGACGAATAAGTAAAAATTCCGCCCTTGCTATCGTTTGATAATATTCTGTTTCGAACTGCTCGCGATATTCTCCTGCTTCCTGCGCTTTCTCTTCACCACAGATCGCCTCTATTTCCGCTTGAATTTGCTCGAATTTATTGTACGTTTCACGTATACGACTAATGCGTTCGCGGATTTCCAATGCCGTCACTTCGTCTAATGGCCGACCGTGCTCTGCTTGCGCTTCCACCGTACTGACTATATAATTCTTGAAAATGGTAAGCTTACCCTTAGCCGTTCCGCGAGTTCTAACGAGAGCCTCCATTCTTACCTTGCTCGACAAAGCGAGAGTGTTTCCAAAGACAATGACCAAATAAAGAGGGGAGGGCCTCGACTTCCTTCTAATTTATGTGTATATGCCTCAGTAATGCGACCATCCAATGAGATACCTTCCTGTTTTTGCTGCTATCGACTTTCAATGTTTCGCTTATTGCAATGCTTTTCCTGTGAATATTGTGCTAAATCTGCTGCCTCTGAAATCCTTCCGAATGAAGGCTTGCACGTGCCTTGCTAATGGCGGCTACTGTGTTCGCGCCCGCTGCGCCTTGCAATGTCCTTGTACCGCTAGCTTCTTTCCACTGCGGTTAATGCGAAAATCTTTAACTTCTCAAGTTACTTTTAATAAATCCGGCTCGAAGGACCATGTTTGGGATTTAACAGAAATGAATCGCCGGATTTCACCTTTGAAAAATACTAAGAGCCGTGTCGCTCGTGATGCTTTATTGCCGCCATGTACAATACTGATTTTTATTACATTCTCCTTCTTCGAGAGCGCGCTAGCGCCGGTCTTCTTCCTCGCGGACGCTCATGCGCCAAAAAAATGACGAATACCCACTCGCTCGCGGCCATATTACGAATCGCCGTA